CTTACATGTTATACCTGGAAGGAGCCGGCCTTATAGAAAAGAAAAGCAGATGACACCTTTCCATTCCCTATCTTGTCCCATTTTCTTTTCATATTCCTCTCTTCTTTCTTATCCCGACCCCCCTCTCTCTCTCTGTGTGTCTCCCACTCACTGTTTGTCTCCTTCCTGTCGCTCCCCCTTTTCCCTCATTATGTATCTTCCGTGGCCCTCTTCAAGCGAGAGTATAAAAGTTATATGTCCTGTGTTCTTTAAATGACCGAAACTATGTCCAGTAGAGCGCTGTAGTTTGCCTTAGAAAAAAAAAAGATAAAATTAACCCCTTTTCCCTCACAACTGGTAATTGTTTTGTGTCTGTGGCGCTCATTTATCATTTACTTGACTTTCTGAAGTGAGCATTTCCATTATTTTACAGAAATGGTTTTACAATAAAGCACCGTATGTGAGACGTTTATTTTTTGTTTACAATTCGCGCTTCCTGTCTGAATAATTCACAAACAGAACAAGGACGAGCAAGCCACATCTAAACAGCCAGCTTATTTAACTACTCCTCGAAAATACTAGACTCAGCTCCCTTTCACCAACCCAGTCTCCCCTCCCCCCTCTCTCTTTCTCTCTCTCTCTCTCTCTCTCTCTCTCTCTCTCTCTCTCTCTCTCTGTCTGTCTGTCTCTCTCTCACACACTTTGTTTCTCTCTTTTTCTGAAGCTCTTTTTGTCTTTCGCTCTTTTTTTTTTACCCCCTTTTCACTCTTGCTCTGTACGTGTGGGCATGTGTATTCGTGTGTATGTGTATGCGTGGATGCGTATGTGTGGCTATGTGTATATGTGAGTGTATGTATGCTTCACGGGAAGCTGAGAATGTTTCGGAGAGTTCTATGGTCTTCTGGGGTAATAAATATAGTGTAAAGCGCATAGAGCCTGCTGTTGAGCGGGGATATGCGCTATACAAATGCTATCTATTATTATTATGTGTATATGTGTGTGTATGCGAGACAATACGAGACAATACTAGACACTGCAAAACAGTGCGAGACAATGTGAGACAGCACAAGACAATTCGAGACAATAGATGTACGAGACCGTGCGAAACAATGCGAGACAGTGTGAGCTAGTTCAAGACAATGCGAGACAATAGACAGTGCGAAACGTTGCGAGACTGTGTGACAATACGAAAGAGAACGAGACAGTTATGAGCGTTGGCAGGCAGCTGTGGGTGGTCGTATCTTATCCAAGGGCTGCCCGAAAAGTGCGCTAAGAATGGCAACTAAAAAAACAATTTGATATGAATCTGTGTTAACTATCTATAGTGTTGTGTCACCATTAAGCTTAACTTCTCAACATAGTTTCCTTGAAGATTGATAATTTTTACCCCGCGGTTCTTCACAGAATAATAATATTGTAATTCCCCTCCGTGAAAAAAAATTAGTCGGAGAAAACATTCAGTCTTCTTTGTTAGTCAAATCTTTTTCCCCCTAGTACCTAATTAGCTTTATTGTGCTTCTGTTTGACCAAAACACACAGACTCATGATAATATCAAAGCTATTGTTTGGAGGAGCAGTCTTTTCCATCTCTTAGGGACCTCCCATGGCCCCTGACCGCTGACCTCCGACCTCCCACGACCTCTGATAATTGACCTCCGACCTCCCACGACCTCTGATAATTGACCTCCGACCTCCCACCTCTGATAATTGACATCCGACCTCCCACGACCCCTGATCGACCTGCGACCTCCCACGATCCCTGTGTTCCATCAGAAGCAGCCAAGTAGAACCCGCACTGTCTTCTTCTTCTTCTTCTTCTTCTCGTCCTCCTCCTCCTTATCCTCCTCGGAGAAGAGGAGAAAGAAGGGGAGGAGGAGGAGGAGAAGAGGAGAAAGAGGGGGAGGAGGAGGAGGAGTAGAAGAGGAGAAAGAGGGGGAGGAGAAGGAGGAGAAGAGGAGAAAGAAGGGGCGGAGGAGGAGAAGATGGGAAAGAGGGGGAGGAGGAGCTCCTCCAGAGGAGAAAGAGGGGGCGGAGAAGGAGGAGGAGGAGGAGGAGGAGGAGGAGGAGGAACGGGTTTCTGTATCCCTTATGAACCTCCCAGCACCCCTGACCACTGACCTCCGACCTCCCACGACCTCCCACGACCCCCGTGCTCCCCCAGAAGCCAAGCAGCGCCTGCACTGTCCGCTGCTGTTTGTTCCGCTCTATCTAGACAATCCACCGATGGCCGTTTATTCAGTTATCGGACGTTTGGCTTATTGCGTTAAGTCGTGTGGCCGGGTGGAGTGTCCGGGAATGCCCGATAGTGTCTCTCCGACTCGCTAGGGAAAACCTCAAAACATCAAACACAAGTATCGAACCTCACGCTATCGGCTTATACCCCCCTTACCCCCCCCCT